AGTTAGTTAGTTAGTAGTATAGTATAGTACTATATNTACTNTATNATATATATATNTATATATATATATATATATATATATATATATATATATTATNTATTTCACCAAGCATGTGAGTGACATAGGTTTCTGACTCTACAAGTAATCGCCGTAAATACCTCTTATTACGTAGAACAGGAATTGATCAACAAATTTGATCTCCACTAAGCCAACGCTCACACCTTGGAAGAACTACACTTACAAAATTCGGTCGCAGAAGCCAATCTGGGCACTTTTGGCCGGGATAAAGCTACCCACGTGTGCGAGGTAGGTCAGTATGCCCAGCTGTTTGAGGTAGATACTCTTGCCACTGGCGTTGGGTCCCTAAAAAATAGCGATAAGTTACTCGTGCTCAGTTCAGACTGTATTATAGGTGGCATCGTGTGTTGTCATTTGAGGTACTTCAAGATCAAGACATATAAGACATAGTACCCTGCAGGCTGTTTTATATCTCGGGTGTAGTTTCTGTCGTTTGGGATGCTTTCGAGGTCGAATTGGCAATTAGTACTTAATTTCAGCGGGCGTTTATCAGATCCAGAGTGTGAATGTGCTCAGCTGGACTATTTGGACGAAATATGCAGAGGAGTGCGCACTTACCGTTATGATGTGCATTTGGGTTTCGGTGGGAGACATCCTCGTGTCTGTACATCGAAATCAGAATTGAACACATTTATACACAACAGGTGTTAATGAAAGACTCGCGAGGCAAATTCCACACACAATAAGGATGACAGGTTTCTAGATAAATTCCTATATCTAAGTGTGTATGTGCCGTCCGTCGCCAATAATTATGAAGTCGGGAGATTCGTCGTAATAGCTACACCGCCAGAAATCTGATTGTATAACTCACACAAGTTGGTTGACACGCACAATCAACGGGTTTATGACAGGAAACCACAGGTATAAAAAGTTACAACAACATTAACAGTCCAAATCGATAACCTTATTGCGTTATGCTAAGGCCATGATACTCAAGAAGTTAGATCCTCTTAGTACGCCAGTCTCAGACACTCACCATTGGGAATGAAGTTATCGGTACACAGTTCCTGTAGCCTGTGGAAAGCAATACAAAGTGATCTAAGTACGGAATATGACGCACATTCGTATTGATAAGACGGTGCTCAGAGTGAATAATCCCGTGTGATTTTAGCCTAAGTAATAAATAAGGGAAGCTGAGGAGGGTGGCAGCCCGTGGCTCGGTTGGATTGCACTCTTATCCATATAACATGCTTCTAACTCTGCAGGTGTTCACTCCAAACGCGCAAAAAGATTGGCTTTGCTCATAGTATATAGTATACACCTAGTATGTATCTAAGATATACATACGGGTGGCGGCCCTCATCGATGTTAAGAATAGGCACGTCACTCATTTCAGGTCGGCAGTCAAAGCCGTAGTCACGCGCAGCAGTTGCCAGGGCCAATATGCAATCCACTTCGGAGGTCAGGTCACTAACTCGTAGCATAATCTTAAGTAGAACAACGGGTATTGAAAACCTTTTGGAAAAGATATACTATGTGGGGTGTGTGTGTTGGTACACAGCTAGATATGATTGAATGATATATCTTAAAAGCATTATTTTATCTTAAAGCATTGAATAATGTCATTTCGATGCATCATTTGCTTGTCTGGCCTCTGGTGAACTGACAAGGACGTCCACTCACCTCAGTCTGGGAGAGTACTGTTTGCTGCAGCAGATTCTCAATCTGTGTTTCAAGGTCCATGATCTCACCATGGACGTCGCCGAGAAGAGAGTCTAATCTGCAATAATCACCGAAATACACAAAATATTAGTATGAGAATAGCGTATATGAAGGTTTTGCTGTACAACGGACAGATGAGTTGTTGGTAAGTACACTCAGAACTGTCCGTATACGGGGTATGAACAAGATACTAACGTAATCATCCGGGTACTCATGTAATGAATGATGTGAGGTGAGCTGCGCACCTGGCATACCAGTTGTGGGTGGCATAGTTGTTCCTATGTAAGATACATATGCACGCAATTTATATAGACGATACATATACTCGGTCGCTCTTGTAGTGAATAAATGAGGGGTGGGGAATTGGACGATCAGGAGTGGGTATATGACCGTATTTTTCTCCGTCT